GGTCATAGCACCGTGTTGAGATGGTGCCCAGGCCAATATTCCCACCCAGGGTTAAGCCCGGACGCCCCGTTGGAGCTGGGGCTGGAAGCCTTGCACTGCGGCGGGTACCGAGCTGACCTCACAAGAGGGGGGAAGTGCTAGGCAGAGGGTGTTTGTTGCCAGTCAGGGGCTGAGAAGATTAAATGACAACTCCCAGGAATATGTATTAGCCACAAACCTCTATGGGACCATCTGAATGCAGGCCCCATGCAATAGAGGCTAGAAATACAGGCTCCAGCTGTATGCTAATGTATTCATTGATCTAAACTAGGAATGGCTTCTGTGGTTGTGGGTACTGCTCTCTGGCAGCTGTGGAGAAGTAATTCAGCTCTCCTAATGCTAGCCTCTTTATTTGAGGCAGATGTTCTCTAAAATTAATTTGATTGATAGCCAGTAACTTGGTACAGCAGGTCGACTCGGTTTTATCGCCTAGAGATGGTTGCACACTTGGCAACTAGGACATCCTGCCCTGTTCAACAAAAAGCCCAAAATGATCGTGATGGGTAACTCGTAACTTCAAACCACTGGACTAGGTTTTATCCTGGATTAAGCCAGACTATCAGAGAGCCATGAGTTTGTACCATTTTGTCTTCACCCTTGCAGCATTGCCTGTACAGAGTCAGGCTTTAGCCTTATGCCATTTGCTTATATTAAGAGATGCTGTTAAAAAAAAAAAATTCACAATACCTCTGCATTTACTAGAGGGATTGTTTTAAGAATGATGTTTATTACATCCCTGTAACAGAATCCCACCAGCTTGACAAGTCCAGGGTTTTTTCAAACTCTCTGGACCATAATCCACCAAAAGAAATATATTTTACATGATCAACCAATGCACGAGCACCTATATATTTAATAACTGAGATGAATTTTATCAAACATTATCCATATCACGTGCTATGCACCCTGACACTTTTTATCTCTGTTTCATGCTAGTTTCTCCATCTACTTATGGTTTCTTGACATCCAGATAAGTTGCAAGTTGCATCTTTAAAACAACAGTATTGCCAGATGTCTTTATCTGGAAAGTAGCCCTGAATCTTCAGACAAGGTAACCACGCCACCTGGCTACAGCTAATAGCTTCAGTAGTAGGTACTTGACTCAAGCTGAATCAATCATATCCCTTTCCCAGGAATTTGGAATTGGGACTGAGAGACTTCAATCTTTCTCTAGGTAGCTAACATGGAAACAAAAAACATCTTTAACATGGAAAATCAGAAGCTATCCACAGACATACTTTCCCACCATGTGACCTAGAGAAATGCAGAAAAACAGGCTAAAGGGGAAAGAGGAAAAGAACAGGAAGGATGAAAAAGATCTACAGAGAAAAGAGACCAAAAGAGTTCTGATAGCTTTCCACCCCTGGTCATGGTATTTCCTGAAATTAGTTGTATTCCTGTCTTTGAATTTTAGGTAATATTTCCAATTATTTATTAAAAAGTGCATTCATTTGTTTAGCTAGTTCAAGTGAATGAATTTCTGTTACTGCAACCAAAATGAATCTAACTATTGGTTTTATATGGCTGTAATAACAAATTACCAAGACTTGGCAACTTGAACAATAAAATTGTACAAGAGGGAACCCCCCCAAAAAACCCCTGAAATTTACTTATAAAAATTGTGCATTTATTCTTACATGTTTAAACTTCAGTCACCTTCAAAGTACTCTGATGCAATACACCTATCGAGACACTTTTTCCATTGCTCAAAACAGTTTTTGAACTTGTCAGTTTTGATGCCTTTTAGTGTTTCTGCTGTTTTTTGTTTCGCCTCTTCCACATCAGTAAAATGTTTCCCTTTTAGGACTTTTTCCATCAGGGAAACAGGGTGAGATCCAGTCAACAGTGAGGGTGGGGCACAGGATACATTTGTTCTGCAAATTGTGATGCAACCACCTCAAAACTTCAGATAAAAACTTTGGTTGACTGTTTGATCTGGAGGAACAAATTCCGAATGTACTACAAGGGGCCCACTCTCCAAAAGATAATTCTGGTTTTATGGAGTCCCCCCTCCCTCTTATTATGTTGCAATTCTAAAGGTCAGAAGTCTGACATAGATCTCACTGGGCTCCAGTCAGGGTTATCAAGGATGTGTTCCTATTTGGAGGCTCCAGCGGAGCATATGTTTCATTGCCTTTCCAGCTTCTAGAGGTTACCTAATCCCTTGGCCAGCAACCCTCTTCATCTTCAAAGCTAGCAACATTGCATCTTTCTGACTATACTTCTGAGGCCACACCTTCCTCTGATTCTAGCTGGGATAGGTCCTTGGCTTTTAAGGACCCATGTGATTAGATTGGACCCAACCCAAAAAATCCAGGATACTCTCCCCATCTCAAGGTCCTTAACACCTAGATCCTTAATCACATCTGAAAATTAACACATTCACAAGCTCCATGATTAGGATTAGGATATCTGCAGGGAAAGGGGCCTACAATACTAATTCAATCACTCTATACCCCATGTGGTAAGGTACAATGCACAAATATATTCCAATCCTGAGTGCAGGAAAGAACATTTTTTCCCTTGACAAACTGGCATGGCTTTTCTTTATAAAGAAAGCAAACCATGAGATTGTTCACATTTCCTCTTCACTTTGGCTTCCAGGAAGATTGGACTCAAAATTGGAACTCAACTTTAATGACTTTGTCAACCTCTACAGTTTGCATATCTATGTTACAACTTTTTGTTTTCTTTCATTTTTACTCATTCTTTTATCTTTTTGTACTTTTTTGTTGTGTTGACTATTATTTTAAGCTGCACCAAACATTTTGCATTTGCTGTTTCCTCTGCCTATAAGACTTTGCCCCCATAGCACCACAAGTCTGGTTCCTTCTCATCATTCAGATCTCAGCTCACTTGCCACCTCCTCAGAAAAGCTTTCCCTCATCTCCTTACCTAAAGTAGTCCCACCTCACAGTCTATCACATTACCCTGCTTTGTTGTCTTAGTGTACTTACCACCATCTAAAACAGTCTGTTTATTCCCTTTCTTCCCTCACAGAAGCTAAACTCTAAGACAGTAGGAACCTAACCTCCTTGTTTATTGCTTGTTCATAGTGCCTGAGACAGTGCTTGGCACTTTAGTAGCTATTTAATAAAAATTGTGACATTAGTAAATGAAAGAATTAATGGAAGAAAGGGAAAGAGGAAGGGAGGGAGGAAGGAGAGAGAAAGGAAAAAGAAGAAAGGGAAAAGGAAAGAAAGAAAAGAAGAGGCACTTTTTAAACATGTATGATATAGATGGATAGGTAAATAGCTATAGTCAGACTGACAAATGGACAAATATTCATTTTCAGTGCGTAAATGCCACTGACATTTATAAAGAGGAACCAGAGGAACTATATAAGAAAATAAAACATACTCAATTTCCTAACATATATACATAGAGATCCTGGGTTTTCTTCAGTAGCACTTGATGTAATGTCCTAGATACATTTTTTTGTAAGTATTCAAGTGGCACAAGGCAACGACATTAAATATTATGGCTAGTTACCATAGCTGAAGTCATCAATTCTCAGTAAGATAATGGATTGCAACATCATGACCACTACTACGTAAACACTGCCAGGGAGCTCAATCTATACCGGGGTTATTACTACACAATAATGTATTCTTCTATTCCTGTAATTATTAATGTCACCACTGGCAACTCAAGTTATATGTTATTTACTTAAACACTCTATGGTAACATCATTGTTACATTGCAATATCAAATTTGTTGATATTTGAAGAAGAGAAGTCAGAACTGAAGTTTGTAAATATAGCAAAACATAGAAGCAATTAGTACAGTTTGTTGACCCTATTGGTGTAAATACAACAGAGTTTGGGGAACAGGGAAAGGGCTTTAGTTTTTTTTAAGTCAAGAAGCCGTTGATTTATACATTTATTACATTTTATCTTGGCTATTCAAAAAACTACCCCATAATTTTTATGCTCCATAAGACAAACTGAGATGTCTAGATTATTATGTGTTACGTTAAGACTTCTTAGCTAGGAACATGTCTTTGAAAAGTGTATAATACAAAGTGTAACTTTTTCCTAATAAAATCTGTCTTTGATTTCTCATAGGCTCTACCAATTTATACAAGCCTCTCCAATTTTCTCTTCTACCTTGATGAAATAAAACTGTACTTTATCCTCGTAGCTAAAAAATGAAATAAACATTTGGCAACTCAGTTTGTCAGATCGACTTTGGATGTCTGACTTGGCCTCCTTGTCAGATAAAATGAATTCGAATACAGGTTAGCACACACCAAAATTCATGTATTGGAAGACATATTGTTAAGATGGCAGTGCTCCCCAAATCAGTCTACAAATTCTTTGCAATCCTTATCAAAATTTCAGCTGTCTGTTTGCAGAAATTGACAATCTAATCCTAAAATTCATCTGGAAATGAAAGTGACTCAGAGCAGGCAAAACAATCCTAAAAAGAGGAGCAAAGTTGGAGGACTCACACTTCCTGATTTCAAAACTACAAAACTACAGTCATCGAGACTGGGTCATACTAATATAAGGATAGCCATATGGATCAACATAATAGAATTCAGAGTTCAGAAATAAACCCACTTATCTATGGTCAATTGTCAAAGATACCAAGACAATTCAGTGGTGGTCTTTTGAACAATAGTTCTGGTAAAACTGTATGTCCACATGCAAAAAAATACATTTGGACATGTGTCTCACTGTATACAAAGTTAACTCAAAATGGGTCAAAGAATTAGATATAAGCACTAAAAGTATAAAACTCTTAAAAGAAACATAGCATACATTGTTGTGACCTTGAAATGAACAACAGTT